TGGCAGCTCATGTTCATCTTGGAGTCAATAATGACTCCAAGATCCCTTTCCGCCTCTGTGCTTTCAAGAAGGGAACTCCCCAGCCTGTATGTATGCTGTGGATTCCTTCTCCCAAGGTGCAGCACCCTACATTTGTCTACGTTGAACCCCATCCTATTCTCATCTGCCCACTTTTGTAGTCTGTCTAAATCTAGTTGCAGCCTCTCTCTCCCTTCAAGTGTGTCCACCTCGTCCCACATCTTAGTGTCATCAGCAAACTTGGACAGCGTGCTTTCCACCCCCTCGTCCAAGTCGCTGATGAAGATGTTAAACAGTGCGGGCCCGGGGACCGAGCCCTGGGGTACCCCACTGCTCACATCTCGCCAGGTTGAGTACAACCCGTCCACCACTACTCTCTGGGTGCACCCCATCGGCCAATTTTTTACCCATCCAACTGTGCAGGCATCAATGTTGGATGTCTGGTTCATGACACGTGGCATTTATCAGAGTCTTAGCAGTAAACAGCACTTTTGTGTGTTCAAAGCACAATTCCCATTGACTTCAGCGGCATCTATGAGCACTGGGCGCTTTGACAAAGAAGTCTCCAGGTCTAACTTCAGTACCAACTTAATGAAGAACTTATTTAGTGTCCATTTGCAAAAGCTGATTTTAGTGACATTGTCCAGAACCACACAGGAACTCCTTGATAGAGATAGAATGGAATCTGGTTCCCCAGAACCACGCTGAACTGACTTAGCCATGAAGGCTAAATACTGATTTTCAAAAAAGCCCAAGCCTGAATTGATTCAATCTTTGCAGGTTAGTCTAACCTGCGTAGATTGAAGCAATGTGCAAGTGAATAGATATTCACTTTTAATTCTGCTGGAAATGCAGGCACATGCCTGCAGTGGCTTAGGTTAGAAGCCAGAGGTGCTAGGGTGAGCCCTTGGCTGCAGGGAAGCTGTGCTGGGGAGGCAGGGTGCCCAGGCTGAGTATGATTGGGGAGGGGTTTAAACCGCCGCCCTGGCCTGCACAGTTCCCAGTTGGGGTATCTCTGTGTTGCCAAAACGGCTAGTTTCGTTCCCCTGGAGGCTTGTTCAATTACCCTCAAGGAGAGAGTCACACATACAGGCTGGGTCCATTTAGGTTTATTGTTTGCAAACAGTTCGACCGGGGAGCAGTCTTTTTACTACACCTGGAGAGGGAAGAAGGAAGCAGCCCCTGTCAGGCATTTCCCATCCCGTCCTTGCTGCTTGAGCAGCGGGGGGCATGGCCAACCCCAGCAGCAACGTGACACTAACAGAGATGGAGCGGGGTTTAATTCCCCCCTCCCTCCCCTGTCCCATTGGCATGGACCCCAGCTGGGGTTTGCCTGGCCAGGGCACAGCAGCCCTTCTCAGGGTTGCTCCCCACACACTGTTGCAGGGCCATGGCTAGACACCAGCCAGCATGGCCCCCTAAGATGAAGGGGGAAGGGAGGGGGTTTATTTTCCCCTCTGTCCCTTCTGCCCCCCAGGGGAACTGCAGGCACACTCATACCTAGCCAGGGTTCCCCAGGGGAAGAGGGGTGAAAGGAGGGGGATAAACCCCCTCCCTGCCCCCTTTGCTTCAGGGGGCCATGCCCCCACCCCTGCTCCAGCTAGGGAGCAGAGAAGCGGGGTCAGTCCTGCTCCACTACAGAAAGCACAGCACAGCTCAGGGGACTTAGAGCATACTGGGATGCCTAGGGACTGATTTAACTTAACCCAGGAAAGGGTCTAGGACAAAAGTTCCATAAACTGGTTTGACTGGTTTGGTGTTCTGACCTGTCCCTCTGTTGCTATTGTAGCCTGGGTACAGCCAGGGATGCATGCCCTGTCCTCCAATGACAGTGGTGGGGGTCAGGCAGGGTGCTGATGGAGGGGCTGGCTACTAGACCAGTTCCCTCTCCTCTCTACAGAGTCAGGCCGAGACCGAGTCCATAACTATATACAATTTATTACTATAATAAACACTTAAGATAAAATATTAAATATTTACAATAAAGATTAGCATATGACACTACATATAACATCCCACAATTCACATAAACCATATAACTTACAACATATATAATAATTAATACATTGACCAAGATAGTTAAGGCTACAACACAATCAACACATATGGGGAATCAACTTATATAACCCAAATAAGTTAATAATAATATTTCCTAGACCTACAAAGCAACATACAAATATACATATTAACACATTAAGAACATATAAGCCATATAAACTTCCTTAAAGAATACCCATAGCTATATAGACCTTGGCACAACAACTATCACCCAAAATAAGAAGTGCACTCAGTACCTCCCCAAGGGGTTTCCTTGGAGCCCCTCCCCTTTAGGGCCCTGTGATGTGGACACGCCCTTCTTGCAATGGAGGGTGGAGGTGGCAGACCCTCTCGTCCTGTGCCTGCCTCCCCTGCAGGGCCTGCTTCGCCAGCAATTCATGCTTCCTCTCTGAAGCAGCCAAGGTTCATCCCCTGGAGGCCGATCCCACAAGAGCCTCTCTCCAGCAGTGCCTTCAGCTCTGCTCAATGGCCTGGCACCTCACACTGGGCAGCCCAGTGCTCGCTCGCTCTCTCTCTTTCTCACGGGAGCCAAACCCTTACAGGCTCTGGTTCCCCTGTCTCACACTTGGGGTCCTCCCTTTCCCAGGCCCTGCTCTGGGCAGGGGGCTCTTTTAGTTAGAGGCAGAGCTGCACTGCGGAGCTCCAGTCACTTGGCCTAGGGCCAAGGCTAACTTGAGCAGCTGTGAGCTGTTCCCAGGTGGGTCCTCTGTGCGCTGACCCGTGCGCTGGGTGAGGCCCGAGCAGCCACAAGCTGCTCCCAGGGCAGATTCTTCATGTACTGATCTGCACACCACGTGGGGCCCGAGCAGCCTCGAATTGCTCCCAGGGCCAGCTCTCTGTGTGCCAACCTGCACACGACTGCCCAGTTGCTTGCTGGGTTTGCAGGCTCAAGCTGCCTCAAGCAGCTCCTAGACCCTGATCCCTGTGTGCCTATTTGTGTACCGCTGAAGCTCAAGTGGGGTCCCGAGGACAGCCATCTCCAGAGCTCCTCTCTCCTCACTGTCCCTTGTCATCTCTCCCCAGCGAGCCAAGCATGCTCCTCTTTTATATTATTCAGGGGCTCTACCCCTGAAGTTCTCCAGACCTGGCTGGTGCAGTTCCAGTTCAGGTCCAGCTGCTTCTTGCCCCCTCCCTTTGGAAAAGGGTGGGGCATTGCTTCCCTTGTGCTGCCTCTGGGTTGATTGGTGGGTGGGCTTCACCAATCAAATAGCAGACCCTCGAGCCTGGGACTCAACCCAAGCCCTGAAAAGGTAAGCCTACTATACTATCAAATCCTCTAGCTCCTGCCCTTCCTCTTCCTGCTCCAATGCAGTCTCTCCAACCCCACACACTTTAGTTATGCATTACTAGTTCTGTTCTCTCCCCTACTAGGTCTTATACTCCACCCACCCTCAAAAGAGTCAACATGAAGCAGATACCCAGCACACAAAAATTCAGTCCAAACAGTCAAAGTTTGACAAGGTTTATATGCACCTGAAAACAGGACTTTGCAAAGGAAAATGTTAAACAACCATAACAACATGTAACACTACCAGATATGCCTCCAATATCAACAATAGATAGTCCTGTATCCTTCAGTAATACTATACTTCAGCTTATAGTGATCTTTCTACCATGCTTAGAGCTCTTACTCTATAACATTGTAATACTATTTTTATAAGGGTACATGGAGCAATTTTTTAAAGCTAAATTGGGAGGGAGGAGCATACATACCATCATGGAGAAAAGCCAAATGGCTGTGTTTCATCTAATAGCTAGCCTTAAAAAAAAAAAAAAAAAAAAAAAAAGCAAAGGATTCCTTTTCTCATTCCCTGACTAGCATAACCCACATTCATCTCTTGTAAGTGCTGTCAAATACTGAAGAACAGTATTTAATCAAATTCTATCCAGCCATATCTGGGTAATTAATTCAGGTAGTAAAGATCTGACATTGAATTTTAAGGTGAATTGGGCTTGATAGGCTCATTCATCTATAATAATGTGATAATTTTGTTTTACACACATGAATGGATATAGCATTCAAATTTTGATTTCTCATTAATTAGTACCAGCAACATGTATTCAAAAAACATAGGGCATGCATGGATCCAAAAGAATGTATATGTGTGGCGGAGCACCAGCGGCACTTTGAGGGCAGTGAGAAGCAGCAGAGAAGCCTGCATGGGGAGCAGCAGGAAAATACCCTCTACTCCCACCGCAGCCATTTTAAGGGGGAAGGTGGGTGGCAGTGCACTGTTGATGCCAGCCACTTGAATGAGCCAGAACAGGCAGCATGGACAGCTAGCGGTGACTGCAGAGGCAATTAGGCAGACACAAAACAACCGGCTGGCTGCCTGATTGGTGCTGAGCCACAGGGCCTCAGCATAAAAGCAGGCCCTGGCAGGCAAAACAGGCAGTTGCTGTTGGGATGCTACCATGAAAACATCTCCAGCTCACCATCTGCTGCTCTCAGGTACATTCAGAGGTTTAGGGAGGAACTATGGGGATGGAGGAGGTTCCTGGGGGCCCAGTGGGGTCTCAAGTCCCTGAGAAAGGGTATAGAGCCTAGTAAGAGCAAGGCTCAACCAGAGAAGGGGCTTATGACTGTGGGCCTCCATAGGGGCTAGACCAACTCTGCCTTAAAACAGGCAGGGGAAGACCAGGGGCTCAGGGGAGCCCAGATGAGAACTGGGTGGTGTAGTTGAGATCCCTGGGGCTCTGAGCAAGCCCAAGGGGGAAGTAGCGGTCTCAGAACATGTAATTGGACTAGGACAGGTAGGCCTGCATTGGTCCTGGGCATGATTGGAAACTGCACCTTGCCAGGGAAGGGGGGTCTGGTGAGGCTGGCTATGGTGAGACAGTCCTCCAGAAGTGCCAGGCCAGTTACCTCCCTGGTGAAAGGTAGGTAGGGACACGTTAAAACCCCAGCCCCCACTACTTAGTGGGTTATGAGCAAACGGGTACACCCAGGGAAATGCACCTGAGCCCAAGGGGGTGTAAGAACCCGAGCCCTAGTGTAGGGGGCATTGTGTGTAGGGAGGCCAGGCATGCCTAGGCAGAGGCCCCCGAGCCCATGGGAGTATAAGACCCTGGGAGTAGTGGGGCCAGGTATGCTAACAGAGGCACCTGAGTCTGTGGGGGTACAATACCCTGTGGCCTCAGTATAGGGGCAGAGTGTGGACCCCAGAGAGGGGTGGGTGTTTTGAGGCCCCACAGAGAGCATGGGTGTGTGTTAAAGCCCTAGGAAGAGGGCAGCTGGGCCCAGGTAAGTCTTCAGATGCCTGAGGCCACATGTGGGCCCGAGGCCAAGGGGCGAATAATTCACCCTAATCGGGGAAGGAAATCAAGTGGTCTGATGAAGGGCTAGGGGTAGAGTCAGCCCAGTGTTCAGTGAATTGCCTGATCACCATTCAGATGAGGGTTGTGAGAGAGGCCTGAAAGGCTGCGCCAGGACCAGGCAAGGAGTAAGAGTAGGTAAGCCTGGCCTACATGGTCACACAAAGGTGCAGGACCAGTTGAGTGTGGCTCAGTGAGGAGCAGTATGTAAAAGGCCCGGTGAGAGAGGGCAGAGTGCAAGAGGCCCCAGTGAGAGGGGGCAGTATGAGTGAGGCCTGATGGGCAGAGTGGAAGGATGTATGTATGAAGTCAGACAAGGGGCTAAGCTTGGCCTAGCCATAAGCCAGAACTGTAAGAATCCTCTGGATACCATCTGTGAGGCATGGGATACAATAAGAGGAGGTTGGAGTTGTGTGTGTGTTCCACCCTTTGGCATCAGGGCGCACAAAGGCCAGCCTCCTGCCTAATTAACATCTCAATTACTTACACCAAGGTGTGGCAGATGAGTAAGGCAGGTGGCTTGCTGAAAGATGGGCGGGCAGGCTGGTACTATGACTGGGCCTGGGAGATGGCCCCCTGTCACAACATGCAAAAACATTTCAGCTACTTATTTGTTGTCTAATAGAGGGATAATTTTGACCTATTTCACTGAGCAACTAACTATCTTGCCCATTTTGTATGTATTTAGGAAGATGGTGACTGCAGAGAAAGAGAAGAGGAGAACATAAACACCACTTAAGCAATGGCAAATCATTGAACAGGCTCCTTACAGTATGTGGAGGCTCCAAAACTTTCTGCAATAAAGATTTCTGCCAACTTGCCAGGAACAGAAACGCATAAAGTGGATCAGAGTGCTGCTGCCTTTTTGGTTAGTATAGAAGTACATCCTATAAAGACTATAGTACCAGGATGAAATGGAATATAATGGTTTGGATTGAGACAGACATTGTATTCTGGACTGTGTGGTTTTTTTTTTTTCATTAAGCAATGTCAAGATAATTAAGAAGATGGTGGAGGATGGCTAAAAATATTACAATATTATAGAGTAAGAGTTCCAAACATGGTAGTAAGATCACTATAAGATGAAGTATTATATTACTGAAGGATACAGGATTGTCCTTTGTGTTGGTCCAAGAGCCGTACTTTGGTCCTGCCTGCCTTTTTTTGCTTTGTGTCATCTCTGCATCCCTAAGCCTTCAGAATTTATATTTACACCCAGCCAGGACCCTGTATACAGTAATTGCTCAGTTAAATCAATGTGTCAAAATGTAATAATCCCTTTTTACTATCACGATACTCTCTTATACATGAAGAATAACTACACACAAATATCTAAACAGTTATTGAAGTAGTGCATTTTGCAAGTCACCTTTCTGCTGGAGGTTCTAGTATAAACACTTCAAATTCCAGCCTAATCAAAAAATGATGTCCACACTTTTTTTCAAAGAGTGAGAAATAACTAGATGTAGTTTCCATACCTTCTAAGCCACAGCAGAAATTGGCAGAGATAGTCAATACACCTCCCTATTTTTAAACATGTCTCTTCCAGAGGGCACAGCAATGAGGCTGTACTAAGTGCTGACGTAATTACACCACAACTATGCTGAAGAATCTGAGAATTTTTCTCCATTTTTTTTCGTCTATGGGAATTTTAGAAGTTACTTGTGACACAACAGAAAATAAACATTTTAATTATGAAAGGATAATTTTAAAGTTGATGGTGCCCTTTTAAATGTATTAATTATGGTTATACCGTGTGATAATTTATAATCACAGCAGCATAAGCACATCAAACATAAGAAAATAAACGTATTTATTACCTTGAAGAGAATCATTATCCTCATGTTATAGATGTATTACCAAAAACAGAGAGATGAAGTAACTTGCCCAAAATGATACATAAAATTTGGTAAAGCAAATAATTGCAACTGTCTCTTCTTGGTTGTAGTTCTGTGCCTTCATCACAAAACCTCTTTTCCTTTCCAAATTCTTCAGTCACATTACATTAGAATAACTTGATTTATGTTGACAGCTTTATATTAATTTCTGATTATCCCATCTCATTTGTTTTCGCTCATGGCTATACCATCACTTTGTCATATTCCATTCATCATTGTAATTGCTCACATATGCTGTCCTCTCTCCAAATTAACTACAGTTCTCTTCAAATAAGGTGACAGAGATTGGACACTATACTTTAACGGGTGGGGGCAAGACAATACTTTATATACTACATCCTTAGGCATATAGCAATATAACCCTCAGAACAAGCCAGCCTCTTACCAGCTTTCTCTGCTGCTGCAGCAATCTAGAGTGAGAACTTGCAGTTGGAGCTATTGATGCGCTCTGATCTTTTTTGCTCTAACTGTAGCAACACAGAGGCTCATTACATACCATATTGCATTTCTGAGCACATTGATCTTGTAAAATAGCTGATTCCTTCCCTGTTCTCTTAGTTAAGTTCACAGTATCAGGCCAGAAGTGAGCCAAAGGCCAGAACAGGATGGAAACAGAGCAGGACAAAGCAGGAAGCAGGCAGTATGGGGGCCAGGAGGGAGGCATCAAGAGAAAAACATATTACTCAGCTTGAGTCCTATGGCCAAATTAAGCCCTTAAATACCTGGCGGTAATTCTTACATGTTAATCCCAGGCTAAACAATCTTTTACTGGCCCCAGACTGATAGGTCTGGGCTCTGGCCAGAGCCCTTGCTTTCACACAGCTCCAGAGCCCAGGGAATCCCCTTGAGGGCAAGAGAGTGGATAGTGGCAGTACTCAACCCTTGGGCTCTGAAGGTGCAAAAGCAGGGGCTCTGACTAGAGCTCATGGCGCACCTATACATATACCCAACGCCTGCTCCGACACGTTCCAACTAGAACACATCGGAGCAGACTCGATCAGTCTCGTTGGCTGGAACATTCTGATTGGCACTCTCCAGCAGCATCGGGGTCACATGTATTTAGCATCCCTGCACTTCAGAATGGTGCCAGGGGTGCTTTAATTAAAGCTCTTTGAACAAACTTTAGTTAAAGCACCCCTGCCACCATTTTGAAGCATGGGACACTGAATACACGAGACACTGCGGGCACTTGCTCCTGAGAGCCACTGTAATGAAAGCACTTCCCACCCTGGAGCATGCACTGCACCTGTGCCGTGGCTGCAGGGCATGTGGCCACAACCCCTTGGCACAGTTCTGGATCTGCCCATGGCAGGTTGCGGGAACGTGCCTATGCTACTTTTGTTTCAGGAGGTAGTCCCAGGCCAGCTCCCAGACTAGAAGCAGTACAGCTGCATTTACATGGTGATGGGCATCATGCTGCTTCCTCTCAGCACACATAGCAGGGAACTGCCAGGTACTGATCTAGGACCACTTTTTTAAAAGCCTCATCTCAAGGAGTCTTTTGGGACAGACCAGGAATTCAAGACTGCCCCAAGAAATCTTGGACTGTTGGTCAATTTAACCCTGTTTTTCCACTAGGGTTCCTCTCTCTCTCATCAGAAACTCCCTTTGTTTTCTACTTGGGAGACAGCTTCATTGCTTTTGTTAGCTCTGTGGCTCCAGCTCTTCAGCTTAGAGAGGTGAGCAGTTAGGACCTGTGGTGCAAATGCAACAGAGATACAGCCATCTTGTGTTGTAATCTGCCTCCTCCAGGGACTGTCCAGTCTTTATTACTACCCCACCTAGTACAGCCTTCTAATTCTGTCCAGTGGGTGTGGAGGACCAGGACTTTGTGATTACTCCATATTCCCCTGTATTTACAAAGAGCAAGATTAGATTACAAGTCATTATAAATGATTAACAATACACTATAACCCTTAAAATTATTTTTACTCCTATACCAACTGACCAATATATATACACACCTAAAACTATAAATGGATGCTTAAAATTCAATTCTCTGCAGAAGTCAGTGCAGTTTTCCAAACCTTGTTCTAACCTCTTTAGGGCTCTCATCTCTAATTGAGGCTTCCTGTTGACTTCCATGAGGAGGAGGTTCATTGAGGCTCTGACCCTGTCTCTTTTGGTGGACAAGCCTCTACATAGAGGTGGAATATATTGGCCTTTCCCAGAGAGATAAAGATCATCTCCTTCTGGAGTCTCTACTATGTAGGATCTACAGGGGTTTGCTGTATTTTGGATTGTTCCAAACATTTGAGAACTTTTGAGCCAAACTATCTCCTGACAGCAGCTCTGATAGTTGTTTTGCTCTGTGTGCATTACAGACGGTTCTTTGCTGCTGAAGTTTCAGTTCAGCATCTTGTCTCTTAGCTAGAGATTGGGTCATCTAGGGTTAAGCTGCATCAGTGCCATTGGTAGTGGTGTCCTAAGTTATTGTCCCATGAGTAGCTCAGCCAGAGAAAGTCTAGATGCAAGTGGTGTAGATTGGTGCATCAAGAACACCAGGCATGGACCTTTGAACTTATGCACAAGCTGTTTTGCAGTCTGTACTGCTCTCTCATCTTCTCCATTGCTCTAAGAATAGTGAGGACTGCTAGTGCAATGCTGAAAATCAAAGTTCTCTGCAAATTGTAGGAATAATTCAGCAGTAAAGTGGGGTCCATTGTGTAACATGAGAACCTCAGGAATTCCATGCCTTGCCAATACAGACTTCAGTTTTTGGATGCCCTATGCCAATGAGGTCTGTATAAATAAAGCCAAGTCAATATAGCTGAAAAAATAATCAAGTACAATAATATATGCGTCTTTTCCAGAAAAATAAATCTGTTGCTACCTGCTGCCAAGGCCTATCTGATCTCTTTGAGGGAAGTAATGGTTCTGGAGACAGTCTTTTGTCTCTATTGCATTCCTTACAACCTTCTACTAAAATTTGAATTTTCTTACTCGGTCTGGGTCACCATACAGACTTTTGTGCTCTTGCTTGGCATTTATTTATACCCTAGTATCCTTCATGGATCTCTGAAAATGTTTCTTCCCAAAGTGCCTGAGGGATCACAATGCATCTTCCTTTAAGGAACAGACCTTTGACTACTTGGAGATCATTTAAGTCCTGCCAATATGGTCATGGGTCTTTTGAAAGTTGCATCCTGTGGCCCCATCTGTTTTGACAGAAATTAACTAGTTTCTGGCTAGTGTTATCCCTTCTTCACTCATTTTGAATTTCCTCAAGTCTAGTATCAGATGCTGGCAATACTATCAGCACATGGTCAATATATATATTAAATTTTTTTTTCCAAAGTTATTTCTTCTTCTGTTGATGGCTGCCTAACTGCTGATTTGGATAGTGTCTGCAGCTATGAGCAGTTTCCTTGGTATATGTTCAATAGTGAAAGAAAAGCATTAGTTGCAGTCAAAATCTCTGAATTATGAGTAGAAGGTCACCCAAGGCTTTGGATCCCACCAGTGCCACCAGGGGTTTGTGATCTGTTTCTATTATAAAATTCAGGTCAAGCAAGTAAGAGCTGAGCTACTGACAAGCTCACTTGACAGCCAACACTTTTTTTTCCGCTCGAGCTCAGTATCTGTAAGACATCGTGATATAAATGCAACAGCCCTTTGGTGTCTTTCTAGCTGTGTTTGAATGAATACTGCTCCTAAACCATATAAAGATGCATCTACTTTACTGTGGGGTAATTTACTGAATATTATGATGAAACGTGGTAAAGCCAGCCAGCAGTTCTTTGATTGCATTGAATATCCCTTGTTGTGCATTCCCCCAGATCCATGTATTGCATCCATTAAGGAGTTATCTTAAGAGTTTTGTTAGCTGTGCTAAATTTCCAACTGGTTGACCATGCCCAGCAATTGTCTTATGGCAGAAATGTCTTGGGGTTCAAGTAAAGCACGCAATGCCTTTATTTTGTCTGGTCTGGCTGAACCTCTCACCTAAGAGAACCTGAGAGTAAGGGAG